TCCCCGTTACAATAAAAAACACGTCTGTGGTCCGTGTCCCAAACGTGTTCCAAACATCCTTGTTTTTGGATATTCGGATCAGTTTTGATTTGATGTTGTTGATGCAGAGTCATGTCACACTCCCTGAAGTACCGTTTTCATCCACAATGGTAAATCCGATCCTGCTCTCCCTCTGAGCCACAGTCGCCCCTAATTACTAATTATTTCAAATCATTCCTTTTTGCCATGTATTGAACATGTATTGCTACCCTCACTGAAACTCAACACTTCCTGCACAAATGTTTCATACGGAGCGAGGAATGGATGGAGATGTAGGTTAAGCACAATGCACCATGTGAGCTATAGCACCGGTACATCCATCCCTTCACCTCCATTCTAACAGCTTTTTGATTTTGATTATATTGTACCTGGCCTTTATCAATGCGCCCTTTATAGTTTTGTGCGTATTCATGTATCTGCACTCTGCAGTTAGTGTATTTGTAGCGCTCATAGGTGTTGAGCTTCATGTAACATTTTATGTCACTTGTCAAATGTTGCAGTGTTATGTGAATGAGGTTTTTACACAAAACCAATAATAACCCGCAGCTGTGGCGTCATAATGAGGTTATTAGGAGGTGGTTCAACTGCAGTAGGACAGCACTGAAGGCCCAGGTATAAAACACACGGCCCGCCACTGATTTATATAGTATATAAACACTGTATACACTGACAACTATGTGAAAGACAACAGAACATGATCTTATTTCTAAATGTCCTTGACACAAAGCAAGGCTGCAGGTTTGTTCTTATCATGATCTTACATAAAGAGTCAATTAAAAAGCTCCAATTAAAACAGGACTGATAATTTAAGCAGGAGAATCCAGTCTGACCCATGTGGTTACAAGACATAACACCATCAGTGGAAAAGTTCCGTTCCATGCTTCATTTGTTGGCTTATCGTGGAGAAACATACTGCCACTTCCTGCATCATGTACACCCATGTACATGTACAGATGTCCCCATGATGCACTCGTGTTTTCTGTTGGAATGCCTCAGCAGCAAATAAGTGCAATATTTGGCCTGAAAACAGATTTTTGGTAAAACAAGCTGTCCTTTCAGCAGTCTCACTGCAGAGGGGAAATGACAGCCAGAACTCAGGCAAAGCTCCAAATCCATGCACAGTGGGGATGCATGTGCCACCACAAACGGTGCTGAAAATAGCACGCCACTACTCACTGCTCGCTACTCGTATATATGAGAATATCCAGCAGACATGAGAATGCATACACATGTGGGAAAAAAGAGGCAAACGGAAATGATGCTGAAGCTGCTCTCCTGACTCCAGAGCTGCCTGGCACTGCTCATCAGTGTCACTTCTTCTCCTGCCACTCCAGAGGGGAGGAGGGCTGATTCACTCTGCTGCCCCTCTTTGTAGACAGAGGAACTATATTACCGTCTTTTTCAAGGATAATGACATCCCGCACAGATACAGGAAGAAATCATGCTGAATGCACACCTTAATCTGAAATACACGAGGAAGAAAGAGGAGAACATTCTATCGAAGTGGCTTTGAGTTACAGGGGAGCAATTTGAGTTGAATGGGATTGCAGATTAGATTCATCTTATTAGCACATTCCACCGCTTTCTAATTGTTTTATATGAGACCTAAGATCATGTATGCCTTCCATTACTGCCTAACTTCCCTAGAGAAGTGTTTCACATTTCAGTATGTGTTGTTTCATTACCACCATCTCCCCAGTAATGCTGTAGCCAAGGCGTGTCTCGGTAATACTGGATGCTTTCTGTTGGCCAAACGTTAGTTAGTTAGTTAAATACTTTTCAATATATTTATGGTGCACGCTGAACTGTACTCGTCTGAATATCACCTTAATATCGATATTGACCTGGGTTATTCCACATAAAGCAGCCATTGTGAAATGGGTTGTCTATGGTGTAGACTCACCAGTACGTCTCTAAACTCTATACAGACTGAAGACTATCTCCCTGGTTTTGTTGCTAAAACTGGACGACACTGTTGTAGAGTTTTAAAAAACCGAACCAATCCAAAGTGTTGAAGGTGGCCCTTCATAGTGGGGCGGAGACGTACAGAAGTCACAGACACAAACGGCTCCAAACGGAATTGGACTCGCGGTCCCAGGTTTTATTCCTTTAGAATCACCGACTCCTCTCCCGGCAGAAACATGTTACGAATTTGGCATTTTCGACGTTAGTGAAGACTTCGAAACCAGTGTAGTGTGACACACAATCAAATGTCCTGAGTGTGTTCTCTGTACGTCGATGAGAAGAAATGCACTAGAACCAAAGGAAGAAAACAAAAAAAAAAAAAAAAAAAGTGTGGAGTCACACAATTGTACTATTCTGGAAGGCTGCTCAGCCTCAGTGGTGAATGCATGTCGTGAGAACAAATGCAGAGGTCTGGCCACTTCCTGCTTTGATCAGTATCTCCTGTGTATGCCCCTCCAGTTACACACAGATGAACTTAACTCTAGTGCCATCTAAATAAAACATCTACAACAAAATCAGTGATTTGCAACACCAGCCACAATGACCAACACACCCAGACAGTAAAGGTTTAGCTACCTTGGTATAAAGTGCAGGGCAAAATTGCAGACTGGGTCTGCGTCATGTGGGGAGCAACATGTTCACTGGGGAGTGTGTAGCAGAGGGAGAAGACCAATGTACTGTGTCTGAGTGACAGAACAATTGCCTGGCCTCCAGCAGGCTCTAAAAGGCTGCCATAAGAAGTGCGCTCTGCACTAACAGGAGCGTTAAGAGCTACATCGGGAGTATGGCTTGGTTATAAAATGAAATGAGGACAGAATGTCAGACATACCTACTTCTGTTTTTATTTGCCCTTTCGTCTGCTTCCTGTAAAGAGCACATGCTCTTACCTTCAGAGAGAAAGACCGGAGTCTGCCATAAACAACACTCAAACTAAAACCCCAAAGAAATACAAAGATAAATGAATTCAATAAATACAAAATAAAAAAGCATACATTTAACATTACTGCTATGTCTTGTCAGAGAGAGAAAGAGGCCTACATGTAAAAGGAAAGCCTAGAATATGAAAATGTGCAAAACCTCCATCAGGCGTTAAAAATCTCACCCGAGTGTGAGATTTAGTTTAAACCACAACACTGGTGCCTCATTGGACGAGACCCACAGGAACCCCAGGGAGTCCCTGTGACACGGCCATGACGTCAACAAGGCTATGAACATCGGTGGACACCTTCACACGGAGCTGTTCCACTGTGACTCACGTTGCTACAGGAGGTAAAAACAATATTGGCCTAGGTAAGTCCTAACCTCGCTGGAGGAGCAGACTGTTTTTGTGTTCACGAACACTTGGAGAGAGAAGGATAATTCTGTGCCCGGAGCTCTCTGCAGAAGCAAGGAATTCCTGGATTCTTCAAGTCAGCAATCGCTGTTTTCCCCGCTGACACACGGGGACCAGCTTGCCGTTAACCCACCGACAGAGCGTTACGGTCCCGTGTCATCGGTTGGATAAACTATGCCGAACAAAAGACAGAACAAAACACGCCGAGTACTCGAGTAAGAGCCTATTGTCTGGGCAGAGAGAGGTCATAGTGTGTTATTGTAACCTTGTTTGTTTGTTTAAGTTTAACGTCTGTTACTGTGTTACTATATTACAGTCTGCTGTGTCCCATTCACTGCTGTGAACCTAATTGTTGCTGCTGTAAGCAATAGTGTCGCCCCGCACCGCTGGGTTTCACTGTGTTTAAATTTGTTTTCTACCGGTGAAAGGTCCAGTGCCACGCCCGCTGAACTCTTAAGTTTGCCAGTTGGGTTTCTGGGTGATAAAGTTGCAGTTACTGTACTTTATTACGGCGGTGAGGATCGACTTTGCTTTGAGTGCTTTCCTCTTCTTTTCATCCTAACACACACACACACACACACACACACACACACACACACACACACACA